ATTAGCTGTATTAACTTGTCAAGTTACAGAGAAAGAGAATATAAAAGTCAAAGAGATTGTGACTTTTTAATGTTGTTCCTTAAGGAGGAGAGGTAAAGCAGTCATTCCTTGGTTTTCTCTTTCATGTGCCTTCACTTCCCTGTGATCCAAACCTTTGTCCCAGTGACCTCTGCAGCTGCCCATGTGAGGTGAGAAGCCTCTTCTTAATGTGGCTTTCACTGTCATTAGTACTCCTGGTTTAAAGATCCAATCATATCAGACTGTTATACCACATAATACTGTTTTGTTTTTCATAATAGAGTTTTTTGTAAGAGGGGTCAAACCAGAAGTGCCAGGGGGAAATATTTTCAGTGTATTTGCATTTGCTTTTTCTGCTCTAATTAAATTATTTAAAACTAATTGACTAATTCTTCTGATTAAATATGGGTTAATACTAAATTCTATTGATACTAGTTTGAGGTTTAGCATCCTGAATTTTATTGGTTAACTAAGAATATTTCTGGTTGTTTCTGTTAAAAACCACAGCCCCATCTCAGGGCAATACGAGAACATTTCTGGCAGTAACTGTTCCAACAGTGATTTTAAACGCGGTTCCCTCTATGAAGCAAACTTATGGCACGAGAGAATGGCTGCAGCCGATGACTTTGTGTAATTACGTGCAATTTGTTCGCTGATGCTCATTGCCTTCAGTGACAGATCCCGGGAGCGAACTCAACTCGTTGTTTGCTGTGAGGAGGAGCTGGGGTCAGGCAGGCTGTCCGCCGGGACTCAACATCGCACCGCGGGCACGTATCCCGGCGGCGCTCGCTGAATTCCGCCTTTCAGAAAGCCCTGTAACATTTCGTGTTTAACTATAAAAACCTTTTACGTGCTTTTGCTGGATTTAAACAGAGACTGCACAGACGAAACACGGGGCTTTGCTTTGGCGTTCCTGCTTCGTCCGTGGGGCCCCGGGGCCGAAGGCCCGTTCCCGATGAGGGAGCGAAGGGCGGGGCTGCCCCGCCCGCGCTGGGCTCCGCCCCGGGCCCGCGGCCTGCGGAGGCCGCCCCGACCGCCCCCGGCGGGCGCCACCTGCCCGCCCGGCGGCCCCGCCGCGCCGCCCGCGCCCATAGGCCGGCGGGCTGTGGCGGGCGCGGCCGCGCTCACTCCGCGCTGAGCGCCGGGCCGGGCCGGGCGATGCCGTGCGGGCAGCCCGACAGCGGGGCCGCGGCCGCCCCGGCGCGGTACGTGCTGGGGGTGGACGTGGGCAGCACGATGGTGAAGTGCCACGTCTATGACCGCGCGGCCGCCGTCAGGGGCTCCAGCTGCAGGAAGGTGAGTCCGGGCGGGCTCCGCGCCGCTCCCTCAGCTCGGCCCGGCGGGAGCAGCCTGGGGCGGCACCTGCCTCGGGAGCCGGGCGGGGCCGGACGTGCTCGCTCTGCCCAGAGCGTTTCTGACCCGCGGGCCCGCGGGAGCCGGCGGGTTCCTTGGCTTGTCCCGGTGCGCGGGCATCTCCCGGGTCCGCCCCTGCTCCCCCTTCCCAGGGCCCCCGGGGTGAAGGGAGCCCGCAGCACCGAGCCCCGCAGGTACCGCCGGAGCGATCGCCCCGTTCGTTCCCGCCCACCAATCCCTGTTACTTTCGCTTCAATCGCTTCTCGACTAATTCCTCTGGGAACAAAAAGACTTTTGTTAGAAGGGCATAGCTGAGGCTTGCGTAGGACTTGGTGTTTACCCGCATCCCATCGTGTAACAGTGCCGCGTGAAAAAGTGTTAACTTGGGAACAGGGATTTCGGGCTGCTTTTCGTTTGTACTGATCGTGATTTTGGGATCAAGACAGTCTCCAGAATTAACTTTTTTACAATTAGGAGAAGTGTAAAAGTCTGATGGATTTCAGAGGTGGAAGGGGCTGCTCTCGGTGGAGCTGACCCTCTAGTGGGTGATCCCTGCCCTGCTGAGCCGTGCTGCTGGTGAGGAGCTCAGAGGCATCCACGTCTGAGTTCAGCAGTGGAGCCAAAAGGCTCTCTGAGCATCTGCTTTCCAATCTGCAGCTCTGAAAGGAGTTTACAGCCTCTGAAGTTCCTGGTGATTTGGGCTTCTTTATTCCCTCTGAACAGAGGAAGTCTTCTAGAGATCACACATCCAGATTCAACTATGTCCTAAAAGTTACACTGTTGTTTCTTCTCATACAAGAGATTGAGAAAATTAAGAAAAAAAATGCAAAGGCAAATTTGTTTGCACCAAGTTGCACAAGAATGGTGGCTTCTGTGAACTAGGGATCATAAAAATGTTGTTTGTGTTTCCTGAATAGGTGGAGTCGCTTTATCCTCGTCCTGGATGGGTTGAATTAGATCCTGAAGTGCTGTGGAGTCAATTTGTTGGTGTAATAAAAGAGGCTGTACAAAGTAAGGGCTTAAAGCTTGAGAAATTAATTATTTATTTATCAAAATTAGTAATAAGTCTGTTAGATAATAAGATTATTTTTAACTAGTATTGAAAATTCATCACTGAGCACAAGTCTACAACATGCTTTAAGGTCTATTCAGTCCTTATGTAAAATAGGGCATTGGAATGACCTTTTTCCTTTCAGTTGGGCCAGATTAGGATTGAAGTAGAAGCAGTGAACACTAGATTTACACATCAGTGACAGCACCTTGTTGCTCCAGCTTTTTGTGTAGGCTTGTTCCCCTTCCAGTGCCCCGTTATTCCACTGCCACTTCGTATGTGTGACTGCAGGTGTATGAGAGCATAAACTCAGGATGCTTCAAGGTTGTACTTCCTCCATTACAACCTGATGTTCCCACTTTTCCCATTCAAATTACGGACAGTTCTTACCATCCAATTTCTGTATTACTCTTCTTTTCTATTTGTACTTTAGCCTAAAATTTCCTAGTACTCCACACACTAAATACACACAGCTCCCTTTTTTGCCAAACTTCTGATGTGGGTTTTCCCCCCCTTTTCTGAATGCTGCTCTAACTCTACTCTTGCTCTCTGCAACTCCCATAGCTTTCACATTAATCCAGCTCCAGTGTTCTACAATCCAGCGTGGATCGCCTTTGTTGCCACGCTGATGCTGTGAACCTGTCAGCTGCACCCCAGCTTTCCCACATGCCTCAGCCTCCTTGGCCTGTGTGTGTACATCACACTCTTGCATCCACTGCTTTAAGTTCCTCCCATTCAGCCCCTCTTGCAGTTTGGTCTCCAAGTGTTGCTCTGGCTCAAGCCAAAACTGCTTGTCTCTTCCTTTGGAAGGCTGCCTAGGGAACAGGGAAAGTAACCATCACCAGGTGTAAGCTGATTATTTTGGGCTCTTGGTTTGTTTTCTCAGCAGCCGCAACTGTCACGAGAATAGCAATGCCACCTCAACCCCCAAAAGACCTTACTGTCTTCCTTCACTCCCATTCTGTGAGGCAAATCAGGAAGCAAGATTTTTCAGCTAGTTTTAAAAGGGGAAGGTTATCTTGTGGCCAAGATGTGTGCCCTGCTGGCAAGTCATTTTTAGGTCATTTTTAAGTCATTTCTGACCTCACAGTGCTGTCAAAAGAAGCAGTCCCACCCTCCTCTTTACAGGATTGTTTCAAGTCTAGAGCAGCTTCCTGAGTCGAATCACTGTCCGGCTGTTTATGCCAGCAGAGCTTCACCAGTGTTTGTGCTGGTGCAAGAGAGGGTGTGGTACCAGGGGCAGGAATGACTAACTGGAAGCAGGAGGAAGGCACAGCTACACTTGGGTTTGCAGGGCTTGTGAAGCTAAACGTGTGATTCCATGTGCAGGCGGGTGACCTGATGTAGTCCAGTCCTACCTAAAGGTGGAAACTTTTGGCTGCACAGTCCCACCCCCCTCTTTTACTCTGGTACTCCATCCAAAAGACAGCTTAGCTGAAAAATATCCATGTTTGTCTTCTGGTTTGTTTTTCTCTTTGATGGAATTTCACTCCACTCGTGTAGGCATCTAGAGAGCATGATAGCTGACGCAGGGAAAGCGATGGGAGCATGCAGGTTGTGGAGATGGGGAGGAGTAACACATGCCACTAATCTGCAGTGAGCTGTGGTAGTACTCCTGTGGCTTTGCCTGGAAAAGAAATGCTGCTGTTCTCAAGCCACCCACTCCCAGGTCCTCCTCCCATACACTCCTGCTACCAGCAGCACTTGTGCAGGCAGGTGGAGCAGGTTGCCTTGCGAAAGCACCGGTTTAACTTTCAGCTGATTGAGGGCTTGGTAGCACTGCCTGCAGGAATGCAAGGGCCAGGACAAAGGAAGGTGCAGAAGCACAAGTAGAGTTGGGCTGCACAGGATGTGCCCTTTCCCTGTGAAATCCTTTCTGTGATTGTCACTGAGAGGGTGGCAGATGTAGAGTCCTCAAGATAGGCTCACACAAACGTAACTTTGGATGGGAAAGTTGACATGAGAACTTGTATGAGCAAGACATACTTAACCTGTGATTTGTTCAAGTAGCTGCACTGAGAGCCCCTCAGAGTAACAGTACTTAGGACAGAATAGGTAGTCTGTCATTTAAGAGGAATTTCTTAATGTGTTTTCCCTTCATGTAATTTTGCTTCTGGAAGCGTGCATGGAGGTGCTTAGCAAGCTGACTAGAGCTGCTATGAAAATAGCTATGGACATATTTAATTATTTACAGTTTTATATATTAGAAAAAATGTTCTGTAAGAGTTATTTGAAGGTAAAATTTAACAGCAAAGTTGGTGTGTACCCAAATGTACACTTTTGTACTTCTGATTTTGAAGTATACTTTGCATTCAGTGGTACGTGGTTTAAGCCAATTTGTTCTTAGGAATTTTGAAAGGTTGCTTAAGAAATATTTAAAGTGAGACACGTCATTATCAAAGTGATGTAAAAAATCAGGCCATATTGACATTAATCTCTTTACTGCCTACAGGATCGATCTAGTTTTGTTTCTTTATGAAAATTCTTTTTGTAAGTGTAAAGGTACTTCTGTTTGTGCTTTCTTTTGCATTTATCCATGTGAAATGCACATTTTAATTGATTATATAGGTTTATGCAATCTTCCTGCCTGTCTCTGGGATTATTCATGTAGAGTATCAACAGGCCTTTCAGGAGGCAGAAAGAGTCAGTGTGCCACAACTGCTTTTAGTAAATACATAGGTTTGTTTATCTGCTTTGGAATCAGTTGTCTGACTCAGAGCTCTCTAACATTTCACTGCTCTAGCCACTTAATTGGGCAGCCTGTAGAGATTTATATTCTCTTTAGCTGTTAATTTCCTAAGTATTCCATAGATTTTTATAATTATATTGAAGAAGCTGTATTTTTGTTTGTTTCTTCAAATAAATGCTTTTTTTTTTCTTTTTTTTTTTTGGTTTTTAGCTGCAGGGCTTCACATGGGGCAAATTGCTGGTCTTGGCATCTCCACACAGAGAGGAACTTTCATTACATGGCACAAGTATGTATATTGTGTGTTGTTTCAAACAATTTTGTTTGTTTACATTCCTGGACTGGATGGGAGCAGGCTGTAGAAATGTTGAACTGTGTTAAGTCACAACCTGAAAGTAAAAAATGTCAGTCACTCACGTTCCCTTGTGTTTGCACAGCCAAACAGTTCAGAACAAACTGTGTTTGCACAGTTCAGAACAGTTTGTAAGTGTATGGCCTTTTTGTTCTTAATACTTTGGAAGAGCTGAACACATACTTAATTTTTATTTTTGGTGAGAAGTCTAGAACTCCAAATGTCTGTGTGCCTATCTAGTAACTCCTTGAATCCACCAGGAGGATATGCACTTATTTTGGGAACTGACCCAATGTTAATTGTCCTGATTGGAAACGGTGAATGTTGTTGAATTTTTTGGGCAGTCTGTGTTCTGTAGTTTTAAAGGGGAAATGTCCAAATACTGTTTTTCAGGAGGACAGGGAAACCTTTTCATAATTTCATAAGTTGGCAAGACATAAGAAGTGCTGAACTTGTGCGTTCCTGGAATAAGTCCCTTCTGCTGAAGGTAAAACTCTGCTAATCTAGATACAGCTTGGACATATTAGAGCTGTCTCATTTTTATGACAAATAAGGGCAGTATATGGAATACTGCTGTTCACATGGTAATGTGACGTGTTGTAGCCTAAAAACGTTTAACTGAGCAATATTAGCATGGAAGATAGTGCCAAGAAAACAAATGCAGTACTGATAGCCTGCAGGTAATTATGGGAAAAGATAACTGTAGTTCTAATATTCATTTTGTTACTTTTTAGTCTCTTGTTCTATTAAAATGTTTCATGTTAACATTGCTACAGCACAGTTTTTGCATGTCGGTGGGTAGTTCTTGGTTGGCAGTGTTTTGGGCTTTTTCTTTTCTTGGGTGTTTTTTTTCCCATACTCTTTGCTCAGATTACCTGTAGAAGGTGTATTTTATGCTGCTCATGGCTTGTGCTTCTTACCTTTAGAAGAGAAAGCTTTGCTCCAATTGGAAAAACAGAAATCACTTTTCCTCTAAGTGGAAACTAACTAGCACACTCACCATAGGAAATTAAATGCTTGGGTTTGCCACTTATTTCCTTTTTGAACGCTTGATTAATGATTAAATTTTGCTAAGTCTATTAAGTCATGATCGAGCCTGTCAGCTGTAGAACTTTCACTGGAATAAGAGTGTGTAAAGCTGTCAGCCACATCAGGCATTGTGCTCATGTAGCTGACCAGTGTTGGTAGTGCAGAGAAGTGTCTGTGTTCCAGCAGAACTTAGAAAGACTTCAGTGCAGCTGCTCTTTCCTGTGGTGTGTTTAGCAGGAAGGCTATCTGTTGATTTAAGATCCCTGCTTGATCCTACACAAAGATACTCTAACAGAGTTTTAGCTTTCTAAATTAGCAGCTTCCACCTGTGTTGTCATCCTTTAAAGATAATTAATCAGAAACCTTTAAAGGGCGAGATTAAACATTAAGTAACTGTTTTCTTTTGAAACAGGTAATCCATGTTATTTTTACAGTGCTTCATTTCTTGACTGGGAACGATCGATATTTGGCACCAAGTTTTCTTACTTTTTCCACACAACAAACTTCTATGAAGTTGTCATGGGTTTTTAAAAACATACCTGAGGTAAGCTGGAAAGGGAACAACAACAGCTTTCTCAAGTGATGATAATGGCAGGTGACTTGGAGGTGTTCAAGGCCAGGTTGGATGGGGCTTTGAGCAACCTGGTCTAGGGAAAGGTGTCCCTGCCCATGGCAGGGAGGTTGCAAGTAGATGATCTTTAAGGTCCCTTCCAACCCAAACCATTCTATGATTCTGTGACTGTTGGCTGTAATTTCTTCAGGTTTGTCTTGTTCTTCTCCTCAGAAGAACCAGAAAGACTTTCATCTGTGTTAATGTTCAAAGCCTGTCCTCCTAAATAGTGACTTGTATTCATACAGCTTTTTCCTCTGATTCTGGAAATATGTAGTAGTCTGAAGCTTTCTTCAGACATAAGAAACATAATCAAATCACCTTATTTCACTTGATATAAGTATACAGTTAGCAGAATTAGTTATTTTACTTTGTTGTAAAGCTATTTGCACTCTAGTTTTGCATGACAACTGTATTTATTTTCTACAGGCACTCTTATCTTTCCACTCTGCATTATCCCAGCGTTTTGCAGTTTCACAAATAATATCGTATATTATTTGGTTTGCATTTTGTTATAGTGTGAATTAGAAAATGCACATAAAATAAGTTATGCTGGAATAATCCAATGGCCTAATGAGCCCTGAGCTATTTGTTGCTATATTCATTGCTCTAATCTGTGCCATTTTCCCTGTTTCTACCTGTAGCATTTATAACTTTAGTCATCTTATGTTCTATGCTAATTTTCAAGTAATTTTTAAAAGAAAATTGTTATCATCCATTTTCTATCCAGTGTAAAGAAACCCCAGAGTCTTTTGAGTTCTGACTGTCCCAAAGCTAACTATTGAGAAGGTCAAGTATAATTTCTTACAGGCATGTTTTTGTTGGACCTGTTGAAAACGTGAGGTGTGAATCTGGAGGATTATAAAAGTGAAAGTCACACAACTGCTGAGTTTTCTGTGTGAGATGAACGTTCTCCCACATTTTTTCAGGCACTGATAATTAAAATATGTGACTATCAAACCAAGAAACTCAGAAGATTATGGCTCTTGATAAGAGCCATGTATTCAGTCATGTTTTGAGAGAATTAGTTTTTATGTCTGTTTATGAATTCTGTAGTTGTAAACATTATCATTTAGTGGAAATTAGATAAAACCCGAATTTCCCATTTTAAAGGGGAATAAGATCATAAGGAAAATAACATTTTGAACTCCTTACAGAAGTCATAAACAATAAAAATATTTTCTCATTAACCATGGAGAAAATGATAAAAGGAATTAGGAAATATGTTTCTCTTTATTGTATCCAGTTCTAAATACTTTTTGTTTGTATGTATATTTTTTCCTAGGCTGAAGAAGCTGCCAAAAAAAACAACTGCTGCTTTGGGACAATTGACACATGGTTACTGTATAGATTGACTAAAGGTGAATGTTACAGTTTCTCTTAAATATTAATAAAATGCACTGGAATCTAAGAGAGAATGTTCATGACTTGTCATTTATATATCCTAGAATTCAAATTTTTTTTTGCAATTTGTACTTTTTGATAATTGATAAATATTTTAATGTATTGACTGTTAAAAAAACCCTAAATTAAATATTCTTTGGGCCCTGCCTGGAAAGGAAATAATTATTCAATGTAATCAACCTTTTAAGAGTATAGGATTTAAAGAGGACTAACAGAACTAATTGGTGTTGATTGAAGAAAAGTAGCTGTGAAAGCAAAAAACCAAAGAATTGTTACAAATGTGAAAGAATTACAAGTTTCTGTCCTGAGGGCTAATGCTGAGCAATCAGATGGATTATGATTGAGGGTGATGCAGTTGGTGTGGGGTGTGTTGGCTCTTCTATCCAGGTTCCTGAGAGGAAATAAGGTCATTATTGCCCTTGCAGTGAGCGGCAGATGAAGTCTCTGTGCCCGTGGTATCATTGTGATTTTGCTCACACACACTCAGTTTATATTTGATGGGAGCCAATGAGATGTTTAAAAAAAACTCTTAAATGTCTGAATATCTACAAGTCTTACTTTGTTCTATGTTTTTTCCGTGGTAGGTTCTGTGTATGCTACAGATTACTCCAGTGCCAGTTCTACAGGCATTTTTGAACCCTTTACGGTATGTGCTGTTCTGGGAAAAGGTTGTTGCTATTTATTGTGCTTCTGAGAGGATTGCTGACATTTTTACTTTTTCCGTTTTGTTTCAGAAATGTTGGAGCCCCACTTTATGTAATCTACTTTCTCTGCCAAAGTCTATTTATCCACCAGTGAAAGACACGAGGTAACTATGAAGACATAATTAAAAGAATATGATAACTGTTAAATTAATTGCCGTTATAAAAATACTACATAATCTGCACAGGCCAAGTTATATGCAGGTACACAAAGTTATTTGTATATGCAGTTATACTTTATGTAGAAATATATGAAGTCCAAAACTTTATTTTTACTGTCAGTGTTTCTGACAGTAGTTAGTGATAGTATTAATGTTTTCTTTAAAATAAATCAGTAGCATCACCTTTCAGATGTGGTGCAGACTCAGGCCTTATGTACCTAGATTTCATTTTAACAAGAAGTTCAATTTAGTATTGTGATGTTTCTCCGTAACATTTGTTTTAAGCTTCAACTTCGGATCAGCTGACTCTGAAATATTTGGGGTACCTATTCCAATAATGGCACTGGTGAGTGAAAATATTTTCTTACTTTAATCTGTATATTTCTACCTACACTATTTATCTGGCTTTGATTTGGTACTTGCTTCCTTTGCTATGACTTAACTGCAGTAGAATTGGTTGGTGAATTTTTCTCCAAAAACTCAGTTTACACCCTTAGGGGAAAAGGAAGAGAGAGGAAGGGGAAGGGATTTCTAGAGGTTGAGTTCATTAAGGTTAGGGACCAAATGGTTAAGCACTGAATGTAGGACTCTAAGCTCTGGTAATGTGTGTGTCTCTGCCTTAAAATCAGTTATTCTATACAGGGTTGTGCAACAGAATCCACTCTGGCTTGACTTCGGTAAGACTGCACAAATGTAAGAGTATTTTTTAATGGATCTACTTGTGGTCCCTTTTATATGTTTGTTTTTTTCCCCACTAAAAATAAGTGGCAAATAACATGTTCTTGCCTCAGTAGTTAGAATTTGGAAAAGAAAACCTCATTATTTTTCTAAAGTGATGACTTGTAGCAAAATCTGCTTGAATTGAGCTAAGTGAAAAAACTGTCACCTAGATAATTTGAATTTCTCCTGCTATTTTTAAAGAACTGTAGACTAAATTTATGTGTAAATTTCCTCTTTCACCAAGGCAAAAACATAAGTAAATACATTTAATAACCATTATTGTTGTTGAAAAATTGAGCATGGAATAATTTGGTACAGGAGGGTTATCAGAGAAAAAGGAAGGCAAGACCTCAAAATTTCAGCTTTCTATTTGGAGAAAGAAGAATTCAAGCCAAGCCATTCTGTTGTGCTCTCTGGGATTGCAAATGCCCCATTTATCCTTGTCAAACATTAAACCATAAAATATTGCTTTTGTTTCCGTAACATTTTTCAGTGTTGCAGGCAATGCTACAGACATTCCTGTTGTGTCCAAACCTGGTGTAATTTGGTGCTTGTGATAAGTCTGACTGTTGGAATGGCCTGCAAATACTTAAGAAATTGTGTATGAATCCTCTCTGAATGCTCAGTTCCTTTCTGAACAGTTACTTATATTCAGAACTCTGAACCATTTGCATTGATAGTTTAAAACCTGGCAGCATTGCAGGTTGGTGGTTGACAGCTAACTTGTCCCATTGTTTTTGTGGCTCTGGCAGGTAGCTGATCAGCAGTCAGCTATGTTTGGAGAATGCTGCTTCCACCCAGGAGATGTTAAACTGACAATGGGAACAGGAGGTTTCTGGAATGTGAATACTGGAGAGCGTCTCTTTGCATCACAGAGAAGTAAGATAGTGAAATTTGGTTTTAGAGTATTTGACACACTCAGCTTTTCCTCAATAGCTGTTAATGATGAGGGTACACGAAGGGATAAAATAGGACTGTGCTTTTCCTTCTGTCTTTAGCTGTAAGAAACCAGCTTGGGAGTGTGGGTCCACAAGACTGTGGAAATTTTTAATTAGAAATACACATCTTGGTTATCCTGAAATATGCTTCTCAGGAAGAGAACTTAAGAACATCATTATGTCTGCTACCCGCATCCCTCCCTCTTTTTTTTTTCTTCACCTGTTCTTGATAGCAGTATTATACAGTAGAAGAATGAAGAAAAGAGGGATTGGTCCTCTGGCTTCTCACATCAAAAAGTTGCAGTAGATCAAGTTCCTGCCCTCGAGCCCATATGCATCAAATTACCTGCAGTGAGATAATGCAGGATTAACAGTTTGGTTTTCTTTTAAAACACTAGAAATGCTCAACATGCTTGTAGTGTTTAAAACCTCATTGTCTGAACATTTGTGGTCTGTCAAGCTTATTAATTTGTCAGAGGTGGCTGTTTGTCAAGAGAGCAACAGATGATACTGAAGTAAATTTGCCCACACAAGCTCTCTCTGTCTGTCATATTTTTAAAGAGTTACTAATTTTGGGAAGTCTGCAACTTAAAGTGGGATGGGTGGGGCTGGGAAGGAGGACAGCAGTGTGCTAAGGAGTTTTTTACCAGCTCAAGTCTTGAAGGACCTTCGCAAATAAATGAGATGTGTCAGAACTGAAGAGCATAGACATAGAATTCCCTATGAATGCAAATGATTTTAGGCTAATTAATCATGTCATTAGGAAATCATACATATGTAGTCTGTGGAAATCTAATGGCAAAAACCATGCTGTAAGGTTTTTCCATTCTGTTTTGTTTTAAGAAAATACTTAGCTGTGATCTGATAGAAGTTAAAATCTTCTAAGGCAGTGCTGTGAAACTTCTACTGCTTTAGGCTGTTACTTATGCTAAAATGATTTTCCCTATGTCTCTGGCAGTCGTGGGGACAGTTAGTAGGACAAATTAAGTTACCTGTCTTTCTCAAGTGCCCTGGGCATTAAATGTAATGTGTTCAATCTTTAAAGTTGACATATGTATTTAAGGCTGCAGGATTAATCCCTACAGCATCTTTGTGCAAGCTGTTCATTAGCTGCTGTTCTAGTTTCTGGTCTACATTTAGCTCTTATATATGACAGTTTAAAAAAAACAGAAATAACGTAGTTCCTTCAAGAACAGCACTTGTCACAATTCAGTGATGGAGTCATGTTGTACAGATGTAAAAGCTGTCCCTCTGGCAGTCTGATGGTTCTTAGTAACTCTGGTCATGCTGAGTGTCATATGGATCCATTGCCTAGAGGCAGGATTGTTTTACACTAGTGGAGACTCTGGTGAGAGCATCTTCAGGAAGGCCACCTGATGGATGGACTTCTCTGTCCCTAATTAGCTGCCTTTCTTTAGGACTTTTGGCTCAACTCCTTATTACTGGCTATTATTTATTCCTAATGTAATAGTACCTTCAAGCAGTCAGCTCTTTGAAAGATACTTTTTGTTTTGGGGGGGAAAAGAGTCTGACTTTTTAGAATCCCTTGGGGAAAATTGGATGGACTTAAATAGGAAAACATTGATAAATTTATAGGTATTCACAATCTCTTATCATATAAAAAATAAAAGTAAGTACAGATAGTTCTTCAGATTAAAGGGGGATTTTTTATATTTTTATAGTGATTTTTTTTTTGTTAACTTTGGTCCAACAACCTGTTGCTCAAGTCTCTTGTAATCCCATCACTAAATTTTCAAACAATATACTTAACCTCTATTGCTGACTTTTTTTTTAGCTTCAATTCTGCAAAGGGATTGAATAAATGTTTTTTTTTTTGTTTGGTCTTATTGTGGTTAATGCTTGTATATGTTTTTCTGGAAACATTTAATTTAACTAAGTGGTTTTCTTTCATGGAAAATAATGAAGGTCTTTATCCACTGATTGGTTGGAAGATTGGGAAAGAAGTTGTTTACTTAACTGAAGGCACTATATCGGACATTGGCACTGCCATAAAGTGGGCTCAGGATATAGGTAAGTTCTTTATAGAGGGTAAAATATATAACTGCTTAAGAAACTTTTTTACAGGTTCATAGTTATGTTACTGGACTTGGTTTTATTATTCATAGTTGAATAACTGAATAATTGAGTAATTCACAACTGAAGAAACCAGCCCACATGCTTTGGGCAGCAAAAATGCAGTGTCTTAGTTAGTAGGTTCTGTGCTGGATGGGTTTGCTGCAGGGAGTTGGAGTTTGGTTTGTACAATCATCTCCTCTTCAGTCTCTGCCTCAGACTCTCCTACCTATGGAGGCTTTTATCTTCCTGAAACATTTAACTCCTTGCTTTCTCTTGAGCACGACAAACTTCCTGATTCCACAAGCACTTGCTGCAATGCTTTTGAGAGGTCTCAAGCTACACATCTCAGAGTTAATAACAGGCTTGATTTATATGAAAATAACGTGGAGAACTTCTCAAGTAATGGTGCTGTCAGTGTTGCTTCACATAGAGGTAATGTGCCTGTTGGCTGGTATTATTATGTAATGAAAGGCTTTGCATTCCAGTTTAATGAAAGACTAAGAAAATAATAGCTCTGTAGTAGCTGACTACTGGTTGTTTATAGGACAACTGTTCTGAGTGTATTAATTAGAAATTTACTTGGCTTACTTAGAAACTTAGTACATTTTTACCTAAGATGCAAGGAAAGATTGTCTGGGAAAGGTTTTCCTGAAGTGTAGCTCCCCACAAAATTTCCTGTTTCTTGAAATTGTCAGCTTTTGGTGCATATGGTGCATTTATGTTCTCTGGTATGTGCCCTTGAGGGCTAAATGTGACTCAGGTTGGTCCTCAGGTCTTTGTCATCCAACATTTGACTAAGCCTGGAGAGCAACAGCCACGAGGCTTTTGAGGAAATGACTCAGTTCAGCACTGTAGACTCAGCTGTCAGTTAAAATATATACTTATCCATATCAAACTTATCCATACTTAAAATGGATTTTATTGGTGTATGCACAATATGAAGGATTTCTAGCTAGTCAGGAGTAAAATGGTCATGACCTACAGTTGCTACCAGAGAAAAAAAAAAGGGAAGTTTTAGAGGGAGATTAAAAAAGGCATGCTGCTTTAAACACTGTAACAAGTGAGACCTTTATTTTCTGAAAATATTATTGCAGAGAAGCAGAATTCAGAGACTTTTATCAGCTTTAGAGAATGGTAAAACTTTTGCTCTAAGAAGGAATTGGGCCAAAACATGAGGTAAGCCTCAGTAAGGGTGGTGAGGCTCACCATGGATGAAGATGAGACATAATAGTGGTAAAGGTTTGGAATTAGGAATTTCTGCAGCAAGGCAGACTTAGTTTAATTTCTTTTAGTATGATCATATCACTTCTAAGAATTTAGAAGTAGTAGTATGTGGAATTTCAACATCAAGTCAATCTTAATTTTTTCTTTTTCTATCCTCGTGTAGAGGTACTATTTTTATAATTCAGTAACAGCAAAGACAACAAGAAAGAAAAGGTGTGATTTGGGTTTATTAGTTTGAGCACAGTACAATCCAAAATTTTCAATCAAATTCATGAAGGTTAAAAAGGTAAATTGAAACTCCTGATAAGTTACTAGGATGGGTTTTTCAAAGGTAAGTTTAGCTAGATTAATCTAATTTATCTTTAATAGGAGAATTCACTTTTTTGACAAGAAAAAGCAATAGATCTCATGTACAGAAGACCCCTAGTCTTTTGTAAAAACATGTTATGTGGCCACATAAGGGCATTATTAGTTAAAATTATGAAGATTGGTGTTGGTACAAGAATTGCACGTGGGTGAAGAACAAGCTAAAGAGGAGTGTCAGTAGAGTTATGAAAGAAAAGATCTGTCTGGACAGAGAATAAAAGTAGGTCTATCCAAGAGGTGATGTGATAAGAAGTGATTACCTTATTTATGTGTCAGTCACTTGTAAAGATACTAAGAGTGGTGATAAAATATGGATATTAAGGACTTTCTCTGTAATTGCTTGGTAGTTGGGCTGACAATAAGAACATCTTTTTGGGGAGAAAAGCATCTCATGTGTTGTGAATTTAAGGTTTTAGCACTCTTAGGGTGCCACTGTTACCAATCTCAGTTCCCATTTCTGTCTATTTGGAAATATATTGACCTCTTACAGGATGTGAAGATTAAAAGGCTACAGCACAAGAGGTATGAGAGGATCCTTTTGAGTTTAGCCTTCATCTGAATAGTTTGGGTTTTTTAATGTGACTGATGGACATGAAATAGAGAAGTGCTCATTTCCCTTAGAACATGTCATCTGAGAATATTACAAAAGGCAGTAGTCAAACTCTAGATTTCTGTCTCTTAGCAAGACAAAATGAAGAAATTGAAGTAAATGTAATAAAAGCACACAACTTATGCATCCTTACAGATCTTTTCACCAATGTAGATGAAACAGCAGAAATGGCCCAGAGTATTGCTGATTCTCAAGGCGTTTGTTTCATTCCAGGTCTTCAGGTAAAATTATTAATTTAATAACCCAATTAAAACTTCAACTTTTACATGTTTAAATGTAATAATTTACATCCTATCACAGTATTTATTCTGTACTACTCAGGTTCTTACTGTCTGTCGCTTATCACGATGTATGAAGACCATTGTCAGAATGCTTAAACACCATCCTCCCCTTGAGAAAACCCTACCAAATAGGAAAATTAGTGAAGGACAGATAAACTGAATGATTTGCCCCCAGGAACACAGGCAGTGCCTGCAGAGACAAAAACTGATCCCGTAGCTTTTCTGCCTCCTGCAGAGCCATCACTGAGACAATACTTCTGAGCACTGCTCTAAAATAATTCATTTTATTCTGCCTTTTCTCAAACGTACGTTCCAATTCATCAGAATATTTACAAACAATGAGCAAGATTGCAATTCCTGGTGTTATGAAAAATGACGATAATGTTTAGACACTTCTCCTGGGAATGATCAAACTCAGTAGGATAAACATCTCTCTTAGAAGTCTCAGTGATTGATTGGTTTGAATTACCTCATCTCTGTATGTTTCTAAAAGTTTTTTGAGGTTTTTTTTTAAATCTTCATTTGTCTACCACACTCATTTTAATCATTCCCAGGACTAGTGGTTCTTTCTGAAGAAACTTACACAAAGGCAAGGTTAAAGATTTTAAGTCCTGTATGCTGATGGAACAAAGCAAAGAGGAATTTCATTTCTTCTCCAGGTAGCCCAGCTCCCTGCTCTCAAACAGCCACCCCAGTCTCTAGGGATATAGAATTTGATTGTGCTAAGGGGCTTCCATTTCGTATTTAGTGGGAGTAACTGTGCTAGGAATAAGCAAGTGTTGAGCTATGCTAAATTCCAGTATTGGCAGACAGGAATCCTGAGGTAGACAAATGTTAGTCTCAGTATTTTCTGAACTTTTATTTCTATTAGTGTTCAAGTTCTAGAGATATTGGCAAAATTTCTTTTTTGTTTGTATCTTTTTATTTTGCTTTGTGGGTTTTTCTCTCCCTTGCTTTCTTGGCACTGTCTCCATAAGGAACCCCAGCCAGCTTCCCAGTTAATACTGATTCAGTCTTTTTCCTTAATTCTGGTATTCCCAGTCCAAATTTAGAAGCTGTACTTGGATAACTGAATGGATTTCTCTTTAACTGTGACATCTAGCAGCCACTAATAGTCCCGCCCAGTGTGGGTTTCTTTGCTTTTTAAAACCCCTGCTTATTGCAGTGGACCGTGCTTAGCCTGCAGACTCAGTGACAGAACGTGTGTCCACTTAGAAACTGAGGGGATTACATGGTGTGAAAAGGGACATAACAGAGTTGAACACTTCTGGGCCTGTAATGTGTCTGTGTAGCTCCACATGGCTAGATGCTAACACAAATTGATTCTATTATAATATTTCTTAGTCCTCAGAATGACAGCCCTTAGGAAGGGTTCTTAGAAAGCTCATGTGGCCATTTCCTACACAAAGTAAAATGTTCCTCTACTCATCCATCATTAGGCAATAAGAACAAGTGTCTTTCTTGCTGGATTCTACTGCTGTGGTGCAGTACACAGAGAGGAACATCATTGTGAAATTATATTTAAAATGGGGTGAATATTTGCATTAATAATTTTTTTCCTTTTACTCATTCTGCTAGAAATGGGTTTCCAGGCTTCCATTTCTGTGGTTAATAGTAACAGCAAAACTGTAGGGCTCTTCAGTGGGGTGTATGCATGGATGTGCATGCTCTTTTCTTCTTTTTTTAATGATCAATTCTTTCTAGATACCCTTATGTAGAATATGAGTCTACGCCTTTTAGATTATCTTGTACATGAAAAATGGTAAACTTAGAAGCCATGAATCCTTATTGTACTACTGAGCTGAACAAGTGGCTCCATTTTTAGAGTGGTAAGGGTACTTTTATGTGGAAACAAAAAGAATATTTTCTTTGATGCAGAAGTTTCTTCTATTCAGGAATTTCTCAAAATGCCAGCTTTCTTTTTGGCTGTGTCTGCCTATCTGTACACTGGTGTTTTGGGTTTTTTTAGCATATGATAGCATCTTCTTAACTATAAATATGTGTGTATGTATTTTATAAGCATGAAATTCAAACTTCTGGTAAGTGTTGTCATAATTGATACTTCGCACAATACAACTGAAAAGGATTGTTTCAGTTTAAAAGTTACTGTCTACAGTGACAATAAGATTGAACATTGTCACAAACCAGGTACACATCAGCCAACTAATATTTTGTGATAAAGTTCATCAGAGGAGTGGAGGGGTGGAAACAGAGATTCATACATTAGTCCTCTAGTTCTCCTGTAAAAACAAGAACACTTAGAATTTTTCTTGGACTGTGTTTATCAGTGTAACTGATAATAGGCTGTAGTATACATTAATAAAAAGTATTATCATCCCTTTCAGTGTTACTTTTAAAAGTCAATTCATCTTTCTTTCAATAGTTCAGGAGGGGGTGTGTGAAATCTTGTTGGAGAACAGCAGTATCAGTGTGCCCTGTCCTAGACACTTAAAATGTACCCTGTACGTATTTTGAAGATAAATCACATGGCTTAGTCTTATTTAGTATGTCAGATTTGAAATAAGACACTTAAAACTTTTGCTCTTGAAAGAAGCTGTTTAAACTGTTCACTGAGGTAGCTAAAATAACAATATATTCCTCTTACGTATTGTTTTCAATTTTCTTCTCTCACTGCTGCCTGTAATTGTTGTAAGTTATTTTTTTCTTCTTACTCTTTGACTCCTTTCTTAAAAGCCTACAAACACAATTCACTGAACTCATGGTGACATCTTTTGTGCAGGTTTCTGTGGATGGCACATATTTATGTGCCTCTTTCATGGGGCTGAAGCCTTCCACTACCAGAAACCATCTGGTACGAGCTATACTGGAATCTGTAGCTTTCAGGTACTGTTTGCTTAATTACCTGGCTTATTTCTTACATTTGCTTTTATTTAGATCAGCAGCATTAAATGGATACTTGGACTTCTGCAGATTGTAAAATATTAATAGTAGTGATCCATTACTGTTATGCTGGAAAGGAGTTTCAGCTGCTTAATTTTTTCTTAACACTTTGCAATTACACTTGTGTATGTTTGCTAGTTCAGAGGTTTTTTTATTAAGTAACCATATAGATTGTTAAATTATATTGTTTGTTGCATGTTCTAAAAATGTTTTCTCTTTGAAGTTTGTCCTTACTCTGGTAACAGTGTTTTGTCAGAAGCTGTAGCCCATTCCAGCTATGTTTAAAGTACCCCTGAAGCTCAAAGTTTTATATTATAGAATCATGGAATATGCTGAGTTGGAAGAGACCCATCAGGATCATAGAGTCCAACTCCTGCCCCTACACAGGACTTCCCAAGAATCACACAAATAAATAGAAAAGAGTAGAGATCCTTTGTGTTTAGATTTTCTCCCATTAACTGAAATGTTTCAGAACAAGTCAAACTTGAAGCCTTCAGATATTACCCTTAAAAAATAGCTGGGTAAACTCCAGTTAACACTCTGTTGGCCTACTTTCCTCACTCTAAGTGAGGAATCAGTGATGGCATCTTGTCTGTAGAAACCTATCAGCAATTTTCAGTGGAAACAGTGAACCTTCCACAGTGACTTGCTATAGAATGGGCCATGATTTAGCCATACTTGTGCCTTTGTGGTAATGACAAGGACTAAAGACCAGTTTCAGTGGTTTTGGTTTTTTTATTTGTGCATTTTAGAGACTCACTAGCTATTGCAGCAGTTCTGACAGAACTGAGGCTTTTTTTGCCTTGTATTTTATTTTCTGACTATGTAGATACTGGAAACACTTTATGGAATATATAATGCTTAATTCAACTGAATATTTTTTTTAAAGAAACAAAGTGCTTTATGATACCATTGTGAAGAAGGTGCACATTCCTCTTCAAACCATTCGGTAAGTTCTGTGTAACTTCTAAATTTGATATATGGGAGTTTGACTTTAGGTCGATGTGAACTTTATTATGCATTTTATCTTACTGTGAAAATTCTGTTGTTGAGAAATGGATGATTCCCAAGTCAAATGTTAATGTAGCTTAAGCAGCAGTAGAGTCTCCCCACACCTATTGGCATTGATGATTGGCAGTAGGAGAGTAACAAATTGCTCTAATTATTAAAACAATAATAAAAGAGAAGGCAAATGCATGTTTTCAAAAAGCACTAGAGTGCACATAGCAATGCCTACCCCAAAGGTCATTTTACCCTTTGTAATCATTCTTTCATACTGACACATTTTGTGCCGGGTCTTTCACAGACTGTTTTTTGAAGACATCAGTTAAAACTATTTGTTCTATTTGTGAGGGAAAGAGGGAGAATATTTTTACAATTCAGCTGTTAAGACGTTGGTTTTGCTTTAATCTTTGAAGAAGCAGATCAAATTTAGTGAGGCAACGGTGAATATGCTTTCACAACATTTGATGAAAATTTAACCGAATTATACATTGCTGGAAGACTACAGTTCACATTTCAGTAGGTGCTTCCTCTGAACACAGCAGTTGTTAGAGCCTCCAGCCCTCTGGGGCTCAGAAGGCTCTCCGACAAAATTCCTCCTTCGGGCAGCCAGGGGTCAGCATGGCCCTGTGATCAAGAGAGAGGCAGCCTTCCTATCCCTCCTGTGCCTCTGCAGAGGAAGGAACAGACTGGCAGGCATGTGGACACAAATCACTCTTGAGTGATTTGAAGAAAACTGAGAGTACAAGGTGGGAGGAGCCAGAAGTTTCTCTTTTCCATCACGTACTGGAGCAGAGTAGGCAAAGGTGAAGAAACAGCCAGGCTTGGGAGTTTAATGGAGACAAAAAGATTAAAAGTATCTGAATTTTTGATTCCTTAGGAAACTTTTTTACATGGAAAATTGCATCCAGAATTTGAGAAGTCACATTAAGAGCGCGAACTGAAAAATGGGAAGTGTGGAAGTAGAGCCTAGGGAATATTAGAATTCTGATCCCACTTATGTTGTAATGTAAACTTTACATTGTATGATCACGTTATTTTTTATTCATTGATAGAAAATTGCTGCTTCATATAGTGACTAATAGTTAACTAGCATCAGTAGCAATTCAACTCGTGGGTTAAGCATTAAAAGATAATGAGATAAACTCAGTGGAGTTTTCAGTAGGGTTGTAAACTGCTCTCCCATCCTTTTATCTGCACATCTTCAGTATCTGTCAGTTACTTTTGATTTTTTGTTTTTGCTTTTATCCCATAAATACTTTCATTCCCTTTTTAGCTGTTGTCCTGTATCCCTTGTTCTTTCCCAGTCTCTGGCTCTTACAAGCTCCTACCAAGTTGTTGTTTTCATTAGTCCTCTACTTTCCTATTACTTCTCTTTGCTTGTCTCAACACCATCAAGGAAAACACAGAGAAAGAACCCTCACTTTAGCCCACCTGTCCTGTGGTGTAACACCCTGCAGGAGCCTTTTTAAGGATGATCCTGGTGGTCCCTGGAGCCCTGGAATGTTCAAGTGTTCTGTGAAATAGCACGTCCCTGGTCAAATGGCACATAGGAACTTGGAGCTAGCAGGTGTACAGATTGAATCTTCAAAGTATCCAGCAGCAAAATTTAGCTAAATGTAAAACTGAGTATTTGGAAATTTTTAATAGTATGGAAGACTTCACCTGGCATATTTGAATTGAAGATCTTTAAGCAATTAATAAGTTTTATTACCCAACACTTTCTATAGCAATAAACAGTAGAGGTCTTTTCTATACCACATTTGATAGAGCAACAGCTCCATGCTTGGCTGGTATTGGAGTCCAAGAGCATAATGAACCAATCTCTGACATTTCAAAGATTGCTTTTTGTCACAGTTACTTTTGTTTGCAAGTGTGATTACTTGGCACTCTCAGATGATTAAAGACTTCCATTGATAAGTTCTAGTTTTGTCCATTAAATTGGTCCCCAACATGATGCAGTTAGGCAAATAGATAGATGGAAGCCTCATTCTGAACTTCCTCATAAAAAAGAAGCAACAGTGAAGGCATTTTAGCTCACTAGTACAAAGATTTGGTAATAAGGAAAGGGGTACTCTTCCAGATCTGAGAGCACCTGAAAGGGTTTGTTTAGTGTAATGGTTTTGACTATTGTTATGTTGTGGTGGTAACTATGTAAAGGTTCTGTTATAAACTCTAACATTTCAGCCAGGATGATTTATGGTTTTAAAAGACAGAGCTTTCAGAGCTTTTGATAGTGTCCTGTGTCCCTGTCTGTCTACCGTTCCTCCCCCAGTTTAAATGTTCTTTTTTTTTCTTGGCACTTTCTTCTGGCCACTAAACTTACCCACATAGTGGAAACACATTTGTGTATGGGTACAGGAAGATGTATGCATAGGTGTGGGACACCAAGACTTGTTTTCTGAAATGCCAGCAATAAGCATTTGAATTTAACACATTTTTCTAACTACTTTTTCCCTTCTCCCTATAGAGCTGATGGAGGTGTCAGTAATAATAGTTTTGTTATGCAGATGACTTCAGATTTAATTAATAAGAAAATAGAAAAACCTGCAAATGCAGATATGTCTAGTCTTGGTGCAGCTTTTCTAGCAGGCCTTGCTTCAGGTATGTAGACATTAAAAAGGTTGTTGTTTTTCCCTTTATAATGCATTTTTGTAAATATGAAGAGAAAAAAAAATCAGACAAAAAAAGGGCATAACTTCAAATAATTGTAAGAACTCCCCAAAGGATTACTTTAGCCTTTTTTGTGGGAATCCAAGGTAAATAGTGTTTGCTTCTCTGCACAGTACAGTTAGAAGGATGTACTGGAGAAGAAAGAGGTGAACCCTGTCTTTGCTGCCTCCTCTTTCTTGACTCTGTGTCCATTCCCATATTTGTGCTGCCTGAGCAGTGCTGGATGGGGGTGGATCATGTGCACTTACCTGCAGCCATGCCATTCCTGCTGAAGTTGTGTCCTGTCATCTGTGAGCTGAGCCTCTGTTCTTTAAGGTTTTCATGGAAATGGAAGTAAAAAATAAATTATTAACAGAAAAAACAGCTCTACTCACACAGAATTGTTCTATATCATTCACCAGACTTAAAACTACAAACTGTCAATGGTTTTGCTGAATATGCACCTACAAAATATATTTTCATTAAATTGCTCTGATATGTAAATAACACAAATGGAAGATAAAAACTATGTGCTTGAGTAAGACTTATTCACCAAATAAAAGTGTCAGAAAGTTGGGGCCCTTGACAGGAAAGAATGATTTAATAACATAAATTAATCTGTTTTCTGCCATTTATGCAATTTTTTAAGACAGTAGGAAAGCAGTTAAATCTTGGGGTTTGTGGCCCTTCTTCACTGAGAAGGGCCTGCAGCCGAAAGCATTTTGTGGATGAAACCTAAGGGAACTTCAGTGCACCAGAGCTGTTCCTTGGAAACCATCCCAGTTAAGCAGATGCATTGTCTGAATTCCAAACAAGTGGATCCTATTGGAAAGGATTTTCACAATGTTAAAAATATGCTTCCCTCTGAGAAAGTTGTTGGTTGAGTAAAGAAAAGCTGTCATGATTTCTTACTGTGTTTCTGCTTTGGATCTCTTGGAAATAGATTAAAACAACTCAAAAATAACATATTTACAGTTGAACTGGAGAACGAATTTTCTGTTTATAGGATTTTGGACTGACAAAGAACAACTAAAGAAGCTAAGGAGAATAGAAGCAGTGTTTGAGCCCCAAAAGGACTCAGAGGAATACAGACCTGCTATGGATACCTGGCTACAAGCAATGAAACACTCCCTGCACTGGTAGAAGTTGGCATTTTAATTATAGAAGAATTAAGATGTTTTAATTCATATTTATAACATCTTGACATTAACAGGACAGTGAAAACCACAACTGGAATTTGTGATGGTATCTATACGAGTTATGTGGTACTTGGTTACCCCCCTGCTGCTGGATTACTTACACACTGTAATGACCCTTCCCATCATCCCTGTGACAGCTGTGGTCCAGCTGCAGCATTGGTGTCCCTTCCATGACCTCCTCCGGGTGGCCCAGCTGCTGGAATCCTACCATGTACTGCACAGGGGGTGTTCTGCCTATGATGGGTTTTCTCCTGAGGAGCTCACCTCCCTTTGGATCTCTAAAATCTTTGGTATGCTAATCATCAAGGAAGGGTAAAAGGCACATACACTCCCCTAGGCATTGCTGAGAAACTTAAAATGATTGTTGGGGGTGGATTGTGATGAACTCAATTGTGTAGAAAGAGGTTTTATTGATAGTAGCCTGTTACCAACTTCTGGCTGACATTCTAAGAAAACATTTGGCCCAACTCTGTGATGACACCTCTGTGCACTAAATTAAGATGAAATACGAAAGCAAATAGGCTTTCAGCACTCCATTTAAAAGAAAAATCCAGGATTTTTGTAGCTATTGTTCCTATCTAGCTTGTAGCTCACTTTTTTAAAAAATTTTATAAAGGCCAAAAGCAATCTTATCTAGCATGACCAACCCATATACATTAAAAATACTTCCAGGTATGCTATCTAACTTGTAGATATTTGTACCATTAATATTTTCAAGGCCATTCTTAAATCCTATTATTATTAGCTAAAAGGGAGTCAAAAGTCTATTTTTGAAGCTATAAATTACTTTTGTATTTTTTAAACAAATAAATTCTAATTAAAGAAATGTGTAGTTAATTATTATGTATTTGCTTATCACTACTCTTAAATTATTGTAATTTTCTCAGGAGTATTTGTAAATCAGCTTCAAAAATTTAAAATGATTAAACATTTTCATTTCAGAATAATATTGAGTTCAAGCTGTGGGTGATTGTATTCCACAGACACCAGAGACAAGAAATTGTCTTTGACTTGTCAGTGGTCATTGAAGAGGGCTGAAGGACTATCATTCACTTTTTCTTGTGCTGAAACGTGGAAGGTCAAATTGTACCCTGTTTCCTCAGTTTGTTTCAGTGTGAGTTGGAGCATCTACTCTAGCTGCATTCTTCAAACTAGATCTCATTTGCTTGTCACCCCTAGCTTAAAATGCCTTTTTTTTTTTTATTCTTCTATTACTTTCTGCCCTTCAACCTGTGCTACATCTTGGCAAATTTTTTTTCCTCTGGGTGTCCTTCCAAGTTGCAGAGACCATTCTCTTCTAAACCTTCTTTAATGGGAATCCTTAAATGAAGTCCAGAAACAGGTCTGTTTGCTGATTTCAAGTAATGTGGCAGGCTATACAGTCTATATATACCTTTTTTATAAATGGTGCTAAGACTTTAATATAAATAGTCCTCCTCCTCCTGCTGTGAAGTAAGAACCTGCAATTACAGGATATATGAAACAGTTGCTTTGCTTTAACTCCTGTGTTCAGCTTGTGACTTTTCTCAGTCCTCACAATGTCACTGCTAAAGAAAATGCTTGTTAGCAAGTAGGTTCTCCAAGGCCGAACAGAAAGGCTTTCAGTGTGGTATTTTGGGCTGGAGTTTGTGCCTCAGTTGCTGGTATTTTAGACTTTGCTCTCACTGTGAAAGAGTTTAGTCATCAATATCTGCCCTGGGATAATGTCCATCTATTGCCCTTTTGACGAAAGCTCCTTAACTTATGTCCACTTGTTAATCTTGTGGTTTTGCTGGGCTTACTCAGGCAGTGTTCCTTGATGGAGCTCCAATGGGAGCTGAGCCTGATCCTGTTCAAATCACTTTGCTGAAGGTAACTCAGCAGCCATGGGCCTTAGACTGCACCTTTGCACAGGGGGTGGTTTTCCTCCTGGCAATAGCACAGCTAAAGAGATAGAAGATATCCAAATACTCAAGACATTATATAGTCCTCTTGCTCTAGGGATTGTCCTAGAGGAACTATTCAGGATAACCATTTTACCACTGTCACTGTTTTATTTTGTGAAGCAGGAAATTTCACCCGTTTTCCTTTCATGAGCCTCAAATCTACAGGAGAGAAACTTCACTGCAAATGAAGGATGCAAAAAAGCCTCAGTTCATTCACCAGCTGACCCATTCAAATGGAATGCAGAGTTTTGAGTTCTGTTGTGAAGAGGTTCAAACTAGTGAGTAAGTCTCTGAAACAAACAGGGAGGTGTCTTTAAGTCTCCCAAGATGGAGGAACCTTTGGAGGTTAGAGAATCTGCTGCAGCTCGGGATGCACAGTTGCCCAAAGACTAACCAGACTAATAGCCATCTTGAAGAAATTCAGATACTGATCAAAGTCTCTTTTGCTTACCTGTTACAAGAAAAATTGATCCTCCCAGGAATTTTTTAATGTGCTGATATCTAAAAGTGGTACCTCTTAAATGATAATGAATTTGAAATGATTTTACAGGTGCTGTGCTGTCTTAACAGAAGGGCGTGAAGACCACTGTAGAACCTCACTCATATTAACTTTTATTTAAAATAAGACAGCCTTTACTGCTGCTGTTTTTACTTGTATTTAGGTTTTTTTACTTCAGGGCAGTTTTCATCAGTTTGGAAAGTATATGCAATTTTACATTTTCTATTAGCTGTGTTTGCAACAATACAAAAATGATAAATATTAGCTAGTTTGTAGTTTTATCATTTTAAGAGCTACACCGTGTTGAGACTGTGAATGTTTCACGTAGGATTGGGTAGTGATGCACCTCATCAGCTTACGAAGAATGGGCAATTCAGTTGAGATGTGTTAATGATCTCAGGGCATCCTGCCTTCACAGATAGACACAGTGCTGATGGTAGGTAATGAATGTTTTATCATTCATAACAACATATAGTCCTGTTATCTCTGTGGGGACTACATGGCATGAAAAATAGCTCTAATGTTGGAGGGATCTAACTACTATTGGATTAAGTGTTGCATATCAAGAGAACAGTCTTCAGATAGTTGAACATATTGAGCAGACATATGAATTTCCTTACATAACTAAGAAAAAAATCAGCAGCTATGTTTAAAATCTCCCTGTAATGAAATTGGCCAAGATTTTTGAGTACTGTTTTCTTTTAAGCAGTATTTTCTGCTTTCCTGTAACAGTTGATTTTATGTAGCATTAAATTCAGTTTCTCTCACCTGTTTTTGACAAGAACATTCAGACTTGCTTTCCAGATAGAAGACAGTAAAAAAGGAAAACACTTGAGTTGCTGCTTCAGCCTGGGAAGTTACCAGGTATAATCTCTGTAGTAAGATCCTTCAAGTAGTCCACTGTTTCCAAGATCAGGGCACAGCACAAGAGACTCTGACCATGTGGAAAAGGGTAAGAACCACTCCTTGCCAGTCAGTGGGGCATAGCATAGAGAGAGGGTTGTTACTGCTCCGAGCCAAAAAGTACAAAGTTTTGATCCCCCTTGAGACAAACTGGTGTGGCAGTCCTGTGGGCTGAGTCAGGGAATATGGCAGTGCTCTGCCCCAGAAGTTGGGCAGCATGTTAGTTTAAGGCTTTTTAGGGAGTCAGTGCAAGTTCAGCAGGAGAAAAGGAGTGGGGGTGGAGGGGGAGCCTGTTGTGGGTTAGTGTTTGTACAGGTTATCACAGCACGGGTTGTGGGCTGGCAAGAAAGTGGTGAAACTAGCAAATGTTGGAAAGGGAAATAGGGGGGATCAAGGAGGGATCTGGACAGCTGGGGGAGCAAGGTGGTGTTCTAAGGCTGGGAGACCACGGACAGGTTCTGGAGGGAGATGTGAGAGCTCCCCACAGTGCAGGCTGGACTGTAAGTAGCTGCTAAACCCATGCCTTAGCATATCTAAAAAACCCCAATTCTAAGCTGTTTTTAAGTGCAGCCCTCACTCTGGGATAAAGTTTGGGATTTGTGAAAGTTCTGAAGGACTGATTTAGAATGTTACCTCTGTAGTGTCCTTACCCTCATGTGAACTGATAATTGTCTCACCAGCTTCAAACTCAAGGGTGTGTGTGTATATATATATATATATATATAGTTATTCTGCAATTTGCTGTAGAAAGCAAATGCAAACTACAGGCGTGACTTTTCTTTCTCTCCTTTGTGGTTAAAATGGCTATTTTTCATACATTCATAATCAGTTCTAGCATCTGACTTCAGCTCCTTGGTGTTTCTTGCAGAAAGGTCAAGACCAATAAACCAGAAAGAGATATATGAAGCCCAAGTGTCTTTATCGAGGTTGGGTTTGAGTTCAAGTATTTGTTTAGCTCAGGTAACTTATTGAATAGTGCAATAAACCAGCCACCCTGGTTTGCTTCCTTTTCCAAGGCAGTGCATGCCTTCTGCACTTGTGTCAGGGCAGGCATCATGGTAGCAATTGTGGTTGTACCTGCTGGAGGGGGTCTGCAAGAGAATACACAACAGTTTGCATTTTTTTGGTGCTTTCATGAATGTATCTTGCATAACACTACAAATATTGGTAAAAGGTCTTGTTACATTTGATGGAAGTATTATATAGAGGATGAAAAGCAACTGAAAGCACAAAGTCAGCAAATTCCTGGGCAAATGCTAGTTTTTCAGTTGTGAACTGCCACACTGAGGTAAACATACAGGTCTAGCTTGCTAATGTTTTCCTTAGACTGACATTTAAGAACTCTGTTTTATGGGTTGAACACCTGTTTTATGACGTTCCTTCTCAGTGAAGGGGACAGGATCAAATGTGTCTTCCTAGAGCATTTAATGTTGTCTGTAAAGCAAGAAAAAACACAAGTTTACCATGTTTAATCTAGTATGTGTACGATCTAGAGGTACCTAAAGCACCTAAATATTGTTTCTGTGTCCCCATAAACCGTGTTTTGCTCAGCTTGTTCCACAAATGTGAAGGATGGGTAGCTGCGAGCCTTGGCCCTGTGCCCAGCTGCCCCGGAGAAAGCCTGTCCTAACAAATGTTCCAGTGTCGCTTCCAACGGAATTAGTGCCCATTTTATTTTTTTACTCCTGGGCGTGCTTTCTATTTATGTTGTCTCTGTAAACGTACTTAATCCCGCTTTGTTGAAATCAGTTTTTATAACGGTAAGGAAATGCTAAACGCAAATAGTTCTCCAGGCTGTGCCAGGGTGCGGAGCTGGGCCCGGCTGTCCCGGGCTGTCCCCGCCTGTCCGGTGTCGCCTCGGGCGGGGCCGAGGTGCGAGGGTGCGGTCCCGCGGGGCCCGGGCGCCTTTGTTCGCAGGAGGGAGCTCACGGGGCTGGGGCAGAGCCCGCCCCGGGAAGGACGTTCCTGCTGCCCGAGGCGCCGGACCCGCGGCGGGGCTGAACTTTGCATCCCGGGACGCGGCCCCGCCACCGCCTCGAAAATAAGCGGCAGGGCCGGCGGCCGCAGACAGCGCGGCGCCGCGAGCTGTGTATAGAGACAAGTCTCTCCCTGTATTTATTTATTTATTCACGTCGCACCGGCCGGCAGCACCAGCAGGTGCGGCCGCGG